AACACCTGGAGAAAAAATTCTTACAGAGCCGCAGCCTAGAAAGACCGCCAAGCTGCTCTGCTGCTTCAGGAATCAATGCTAGATCTTTAAGGTCTCAGTTTTAATTTAGTTTTAATTCCCGATGAAATATCGAAAGAAAGCACATCTTCCATAACTATCCAAGTTATCTGGTCTTCTTTTATTCCCGCAGTGATCATTGACCGTAATGTTCATAACGATCCCTAATCACTATGCGAAAGTCGACTTCAAGGTGCAACTGCCTTAAATCAAACCTTAAATATGATTAGTTTTCCTATTTTACAACTCAAAACACCTTTGAAAGAAGCAACGAGCTTTCCAGTAAGCTGAGATCGCAAAGGAAACCATACTCCTTAATTCACAGGACTGCTTCAAAATTCTACTTCCTAAGCTAGAAATCAAAACTACGCAACTATCTTTAATTATAGTCCCAAAATATCCTTCTACGTTGTTATTACTTCGGCCAGTTAAAACGTTACAGCTTGTACTGCGTCAGCAACGCTGATATAAATTGAAATAAAATTTAAAAAACACAAAAGGAATTATGAATATCGAGCTGGAATTTTAAATGAATAATGAACGACTCGGGAACAAATGCAAGGAATAACGAATAAGCATGATCCAATTTTTCCACTTAATGTTTTCCACTTTTACCTCACCTGGTTTGCACATTGTATAAAAAAATGTGTGAAAAAATGTGACTCGGCGTATTTCAAAGAACTACATCAAAATTGCAAAGATTTATTTTATGAATAACAACATATAATAACACTCAAGATCTGCAGCGTCAACTGGCACTTGCAATAACAATAAAAGCACTCACGTTCCCCACAGCGGGGGAGTTTATTCTTTATGAGCGCGGTGACCCATCGAGTTTTTCCCCTTTTTGAATTGAGTTTGTTATTGTTTAATATTCAGCCCTCACCAAACTTTTATGTAATGTTTAAAAAACGAGAAGCAGGATTTTATCGGATTTAAAACCACGAGGGGCAGCCGAGTGGTTTCAGACCTGATGAAACGTATTCTGCGAGTTTTTTGAACGGCTTCAAAAACACTCCACACAAAGCGTGATCCTTTACGAGTCTAAACGGTGGTTCATGGCCTGTTTTTCTTGCATGTTAATAAGTCTCCTGCATGTCTTTATATCTGATAAAGCACCGCATGCTAATAAAGTAGGAGTTCTTATCGATATAAAGCCATTGACCGTGATGAATTATTGACCGTTTGATAGGTCAGTGGGCTTATGAATTATTGAGTGTTTGAACAATATCTACTGAGGCGAATCAAACAGACATATATAGTCGGTTTTCTTAGAATCCTGAATAAATTGTCCCCATCCCAAAAAAGTACTTGGTGTAGGCGCTCACATAATGGTCCGGGTAGTGAAACTTACATTTAAACTACAGTACAGTACTATAAATTTATATAGAGTTACCTAACATACCAATCAAAGCTAACCGCAAGCAAAATAGAGTGAAGCTAACCTCTAGCAAAATATAGGCACTTACGTAATGGTCCGAGTAGTTACCAAATATGGTAAGTAGTGCCTACACCAAGTAGTTTTTTGAGATGGGGACAATTTATTCAGGATTCTAAGAAAACCGACTGTATATGTCTGTTTGACTCGCCCTCAATAGATATTGTTCAAACACTCATTAATAATTCATAAGCCCGCTTACCTTTCAAACGGTCGATAATTCATCACGGTCAATGACTTTATATCGATAAGACCTCCTTATTAGCACGCGGTGTTTTATTAGATATAAAGACACTGCAGGTGACTTTTTAGCATGCAAGAAAAACAGGCCATGAACTACCGTTTAGATTCTTAAGGATCATTTTAAATCCGATAAAATCCTGCCTCTTGTTTTTTGGGATTGGAAGTAGAAAAATTGGATCATGCTTATTCATTATTCCTTGCATTTGTTCCCGAGTCGTTTATTATTCATTTAAAGTTACAGCTCGATATTCATAATTCCTTTTTTTTTTAATTTTATGTTAATTTATATCAGCGTTGCTAACGCAGTACAAGCTGTAACCTTTTATCTGCTCAAAGTAATAACAACGTAGAAGGATATTTTGGGACYATAATTAAAGATAGCTGCGCAGTTTTGATTTCTAACTTAGGAAGTAGAATTTTGAAGTAGTCCTGTGAAGTAAGGAATTTGGTTTCCTTTGCGATCTCAGCTTACTGGAAAACTCGTTGCTTCTTTCAAAGTTGTTTTGAGCTGTAAAATAGGAAAACGAAACATACTGAAGGTTTGTTTTAGGCCCAGTTAACGTTCAAACGTTGCATTCCACATGTGTCGAATTTAATTAATTCCTATTTTGATCGACTTAAATGCGGTATTTGATTCAGACGGCGAATTTAATGCTGCCAAATTACTGCGCCTTTCAATAACATGCGGACTCTAAAATTCAAAGCTCAACCAATAAATGCGTTTTTCGCCACCGTCAATCAAATGTTCGGCGGCTCCTCCCATCTTCCGACTACTACCGAACACTGTTTCTTTGTCTGAACTGTGCTCAACGATTTGATTACCTCGCTCTCGGCAGTAATCGGAAACCGGGAGGAGCCGCCGAACATTTGATTGACGGTAGCGAAAAACGCATTTGTCGGTTGAGCTTTGAATTTTAGAGTCCGCGTGCAATTGAAAGGTGCAGTAAACTCCGTTCGCCGCCAGAATATCCCTAGTGTAATATTGG